TATATATATAAAATAAAAATATTATATGTTTAATAATTACAACCGCAGTTTTAATATGTCAGCTGAGAATTGATAGCTAAAACTTGGTAGATGATAAATGTACGCTGACTTAAAAGCACCTTAAACGTTAGAGTTCTACTGGAGACGATGAAATTGGCAGCTACCAAAAACATGAAGGCAACCGTGAGCGATCTGCTGGTGAAGGTTCGAAAGTCGCGGTACCAGCGGTATCGCGTATTCTGCAACGCGCGTCAAGAACGAGAAGCAAGGAAAAAGTAAAGTCGATACATTTCCCATCATCACATGTCACGTTTTTCTCTGAGAATGACACGCGCATCCTAGAAATAATCTTTCCTAGGATTTGCACAAGTAACCGATCTCAGCAGTGAAAAATACGGAAAATTATTTATTTTAATCTCGCTACGGAAATTATAGAATTAAATGCACATTCATACGACACATACATATACACATAGTAGCTGTTGTTTAACTTTTCATAACACATTACGCAAATATTAACGAAGTAAAACTTGCATGTAAACTGTTTCGGAATCGAACTGCGCGGATGTTTACACCCGAAGAACGATATTAATTTTCCGTTTAAATAACTTGATTTTATAAAATTGCGTTAATACATTAGCAAATAATAAAACATAAGTTTAAACAGCTTCTGTATCGATTTCGCTAAAGAACGAGGTACTTCAAATTCTGCATTTAATTAATGGTGGTTACTTGATATTGTGTGTATGTGTTCTAGAATTAATTATTAATAGTGCCCAACGATATTCAGAATTGCACTTGCGCTGAACATTTATTGCAACGGTTACAATCATTGTGTGTGATTCACAAACGCATCAATTTAATAGTTCTCCGCGATCCATCTACCGTGTAATACGTGAGGGTATTCCATCATAACAATTGTAGACACATTTGATAATTATAGCCACATTTTTCATTTAGAAATAACTTTAATTTTATTAAAAGGAACGTAAAAACTTTTCTTTATCACGAAAATCAATAAGGGCATTATTTTATAATAATTATTGTTGTTGTTTTCTATTCTTCTCTTCTCATACACAGAATTATATACATTATTAAATAACTAAAATATAATGAAAATAAATCGGCAGAGAGACTGGTGCTGACAGTTTTTTCCTGAATTGCTTTAACAAAATATTTTTAAATTCCCGCGATAAAATACTTCGCTCTAAATCCAGGAGGAGACGAATGGCCAAACTGCGCAAGGCTCTCACAAAACCGGAAGACTGGCAAAGGCACATGCGGGTTCTAGAAAGACTGGCCGCGCCTAAAGTCGCCGTAAGGCCCAAAAAGAAGAAGCCCGTAAGAAAAATCGTCGTTCTCGTTCATAAATCAATATTAATCGATTTAGATAAGAGCGTGTTCGGTTTCTGACGACGGGGTCAATCGATCGTGTGTCCCCGACATTTCAGAAAAAGAAAAAGAGAAGACCGATCGACATGGAGCGTACGTACTTTTTGGCCCTACCGATTGCTCGAATACCGCCGAAAATGAAGGATCCGTCGAAGGTGTCAGCGCGCGCGCTCACTTATCGGATCACCAAGCGAGTAGAGAGACTCGCGGTCGAAAAAAAACGACCGGAGATCCAATTGCGAATACCAGGCGCCGTTGCATCGGCCGCGATGAAAGCCATCGGTAGTATACACACGCATTTTTATTCAATTTCTTATAAATCGTTTTACCGCCCGCAATCCCTTGCCGATTTCTCGCTCGATATTCATCGCCATCGATCCGGAGGAAGCAATGGCTCCGTTATCATTTATATCGATTCGCTATACCGATACTATTACATGCTATCGGATTTCCGTAACTGGACTTATATGGGGTGTCCCAGCGCGGATATCTTTCCATCAAGGATTCGATGACAAATTTGCTGTATTTTTCCCTGACAAGCGTTTTATGAAAATCTCCCTTTTTCATTATTTATTATAGAAATTTTTTATATACATTTTAATATAAATGTTTTAAAAATTAAATGTCTCGAAATAAAAAATAATGTTAAATTTTTTATTGCAATTAACTAAAAAACAAGATTTTTGTGATCTCATATTTATATAATTTGGAAAAATTGCTTTTATATTTTTTAATATTAAATAATTTGTAATACAGTGCTTTTATTTATTACAAGAAATTTAACAGTATTTTTCTGCTATTTTTTGAAGAGGTAGTAAATCCTCTATCATTTCTAATGGACTATTACGGCTATCATCGTACATATCCGATGAATTTGGGACACCCTGCATAGTAAATCCGTGATTTCTCTGGCCCCATTTCTATACGTTGGGAAAGACGACGGATTTGCTCCTCGGTGGCTGCGCGACTGTTCAATAGCTTATGCGGTAACATCGAGGTTTCGCGAACATATTCCATATTCTACATACATATTATACGGAATAAAAATAAAATATATATATATGACTTTTATTATATATATATATATATATTTTTTTTTTTTTTAACGAGTGCAACAAGCATACGCCTTTCAATATTCATCAAACATTGATGAAAAATATCGGTTAGATTACAATTTTAACAACATTGAAAATATTTTTATTTGAAATTGTTAATTGAGCGAAAATTCGATAAAAATTTTGATGAAAGTAATAGAACGTTCCGCGTGTATTATATACCTTTTTGATCGATATCGCGAGAATATTCCGCTATTAATTTCAGATATCACTAAATTCGCGTGATATAATGCGGAATTCGCGTTATCTTTCCGTTCAACCATAACTGCGTGGTAACGATTTTGTAGCATTTGATATAGACACAGAGGAGATAAACGGGACACGGTCTACACATTAAGCTCGCAGTACACGAAACGTGTTTTGTTACCGATCTGCCTGCAAATGTTGCTGCACTTGGTGTACTGCTCGCTACAGACCGCCTTGCCTATAGCTCTATTCCGTATCATAATGTTCGCCACACTTGTCGGTATATTATAATTATTTAATGAAAATGTGTCGCTCGCAACGCGAAAGCACATACACCCACATCGTTTATTCTCCATAATTTCTCTTCCAAATACATATACAATTCTGTTTAATAAATGCTTAATATTAAGCATATATATATATAAATCGGATGCAATTGTGTTTCCCTATTGTTATATCTCATTTTTGTTATTTATTATTTCCATTAGTATATTTTATTTTGTTAAATGTGTATTTTTATTGGACTTTATATATCGAGTTTCGTTTTTATTATTTTTATATCGAATATTTTTTCATTATATTGTTTATTTTTTAAATTTCTTGCTAGTTTAGAATTCTATTCAGCTTCTTTTTGCATATATCGGTCATTTTAGTTCTTATCTCGTTTGTGTATACCGTGTCCTGCGGCGCGTTAGTCAGCCACGTCTGATTAAACGACGTCTTCTTCCACTATCGATCGACAAGACGGCCGTGCGACAGTAGATTAATTTTCCTTTGAACTGTCGCGGTAGGAACGTAAATAAACGGCTCTAAACAGTCGAGAGTCGATTGTCGGATCAAACCTGTGTATCGAGGGCAACCGGGGTCTCCCTCTTTGTCTCTCTCTCTCTCTCTCTCTCTCTCCCTTTATCTTGAGCTCCTCTCTCTAAGTCAACTTGAGTATCGTCTCGTGCCGCCTATGTTGTATATAACTTTCTCTGCAACATATTTCTAAGGGGATGCCTCCTCGAGTTTCTCTCCGAGCTATCGTCGAGCGTAAACCGACGTCTCATCGCTGACGTGGAATTTAATTTCGCGCGCGAGACGTTGTCTGATACAAAACGTACAAGTCCATCGAGCCTCTCGGCGATAATAGAAAAGGCGTGTGGTACATAAGACGAGAGCCGGTCGCTTTTAATTTTCTCGTATAATCGCACGCGATGAGAGCGAGTCGGCGCACAATGCGTTTTTCCATTGAAATCCGTCTGTAATAAAATACGAGAGAGAGAGAGAGAGAGAGAGAGAGAGAGAATTAACGTCAACATGCTCCCGATCGCGCTCAACTTTTGTAATATATCTTTCACGCGCGCTCTGGCTATAAAGCAAGAGACATAAATCAAAATATTGTACTTTTCAGGAGAGGCGAAAGAAGATTAAAATATTAAATATTAACCAAATAACTCTCTCTTAACGCTGTTAATGCTGTTAACGTTCTAAAAAGAATTATCCGCATGCTATTGAATTATTTCAATTTCGACAAATGTGATTTTAGCTCCTTGTTTTTAGAAAACTGAGAAAATGTAACACGTTATCCAAATCGCTATTTTCGATCAGGACAATTCCAATATAAATGTTTAAGGATCGTTACACGATCCTTAAATATTTTACACAGTTTGTTAGAAATTTATTTATTTATGAATGTTTTTGTAATCGCGCGCGATAATTAACGGATGCTGGCGAAAACACGTTGCATGTTTAGAACATTAATCCATATTGCCATTACATAGTCGTGTAACATAACTGCCAACCAACTAATCAAACAAATATCGCACGCCTGTGGTTCGTGCGAAATGAAATTCGGGTGAGATTACATTTACGGTAACCGCGCGAAATAGTTTGTTCCATAATACAATGTAGTTAGTCTTGTTTCGTGCGCGCGGTGAACTCGTTGATAAAAATAAAACGGTGGCACGGCAATGTTAATGGATAGGACTGACCATTCAGACGGTATAACCCGGTTTAATGCCGCAGCTTCCGAGAGAATAATCGCTTTGGCGAAACCCGTTCAGCGTCCTGCGGGCGTGCAGACGGACTTACGCGAGGATGCCTTCGTTGTCTCACCGGCGGCGTTAACGGCGAGGTGTTCCAGACGCCTCAAGAATCTTTCCAAACCTAAGAAGTACCCTAAACCCATCTTCAAGAGATTGAAAACCGCGCTTAAACGATGAAACGGCATGGAAACGGCAATGAAGTACATTTTTATAACACCTCCACGGTTTAATTGCGATTTTTATCCTCCTCGAGTGCAGAGGCGAGTTAAAAATTAGCACTTGTGTCGTAATTTCCGCATGCACTTAATCTCACAAATGAGAGCCAGATTATACACGTACAATTTTCAGCTGTCCCAAGCAAAAACATATTATATTATAATCGCAATGAATGTAATACGTTGGAAAAATATTTACGTAATAATCTGAATACCTCAATATGTAACCTAAATATATATACATATACTTGTCTTTATATTAATAAACTGTGATTTAGAATGACCATTAGAGATTGCATTGAATATTGTATCGCAAGAATAATAATTCACCGCACATGCGAGATAATCGGGGGAACGTATATCTCGTATTAGCGTTACGCTTTGATGTATTCTCGAAACATGTATAGGATATACAATATATTTTGAAAACGCACTATGATTCGCCTCGCGAGACAGTACGTGCAATATATCAAAAAGCGTACAGGTCTGTGTCGTGTTGCATTATGAGCGCGTTGCGGCAAAATCGTGAGATATAACCGACGTCGACGTCGTAAATTAGGCCAGCTTGCAATCTGCTAGCGCTCGAAACGGATTACTATTACGTAATGTTATAACGAACATTCTAGCTGTCGCGCAACTTCGTAAAGACATTCCGCGTTCGCGTGATATTCCGAGTGGAAAGACGAGGTCGCGAGAGCGAGCGCGCTGGACTTTAACGCGTTCGGTATTTTCTTATTTGCGGAAGGAATGCGCGAGAAATACGACACACGCCCTTAAACGTTTGACGATATTAAAGGAACGTTTATACGGCAAAGCGCGGAGGGAAGCGTGCTCTTTTCGCGCGCGTAGGATATTTTCTCTCGGAGACAGGCCGACGATTCCATTTGCGTAAATAACAAATGGAAGTGGAAAGAAGAAATAATGGATTGATCGTAATAATACGCATAATAATTAATTATATTTTAATGATTTATTTATACCAACAAAATACATATATAATTTAAGAGCAAAAAAATATATTACCTACAAGGATTGAAAGACTGGATTAAATTATTCGAGTAGTAATCTGTATATTTATTCATATAAATTATGACATTGTGTTGGTCAGATATAATGCTTAACTCTCCTCCCGTTTTTTTTATTTTATTCGCATTCTTATTTCATAAATTCAGTACGATACTATACTTTCGCTTCCCTAAATGATACAGACATTAACATTCTCGACATTGCAAAATTATTTAATTAAAGGTACGTTGTACGTCTTTACCTTTGTAGAGAAATTAAAGGCATGGTCTTTGAATTGTAGTCGCGAACATTTTTCTTCTCCGTTACGCCCGACCTTTTCTTAATTAACATCTCGTTCTCTTGCTAATAGCAGTGTAAGAAGTGAACGATCAAAGTACTTAAGCTCTGTAAAAGGCGCGCTCGAGACCTTTGACAAGCAGACGATACTTTCTCCGATATATTTTACGCAGCTTCACAAAAATCAACGATTGCCGGTTTCGATCGTCAATACGAGTACGATACTCGTTTGTAATAAGCTATGCTGAAACGTGTCGTTTTGCATATCGTTATTACGCGCGCGTTGTTTTCCATTTGAGGCATTTATATTCCTATTTGTAGAAAATTCCACGCAACACATACCGTGCGTTATAATCAGCTCTGCTTTAATAGCGAGCGTCCATATAAATATCTTCAGCGAAATGATTAATTGAACGTCATAAACATTTATCTAATTATTAATACGTAAGCTTCGCGTGTGTATGTGTGTGTGTTGTTTGTGTACTATTAAAGCATCAAATTTTAATGATGTTCTTTATCTAGTTTAGAAACTTCTTGTCCATTTAGATATAAATATATTTAACGTCAACATGAAATAATTTGCAAGTAATGTCGATTTATTTTTCGGAATTCTCGCTGAATTGAAAAATCGATACTCCAAATTCATCAAAGAATGCATTATTGAAATTTATTGCTGTGAAAAAAAAAGACATTCTATATAAATTTTAATATAAATTTACAAACACAGAAAGGATAAATTTTTATTATATGTCGAAAGATACACGCACACTCTCATCCATAGTCTTCTTGACAGTCCCTTTCATCACGCGAAAAGCGATTGATAACAAATCCTATCGTGGGTAAAGAGAATCAAAGGATCGAAAGGCCAGCTTTAATGCACAGGTATAGACTCACACTAAAAATTCTAGCTTTGTCCGAAAGCAAATTTTGTTTCAAAGGGTCACCTCCATATATATCCCCCTCCCTTCCTCGCTTACTATCCTTTACCCTCTTCGCCACCGCAACCTTGATCCGCTGTTTGATCCAGCGGGATCCGGTTCGCATCAATAGCAGCATCGGACAGCGAAACGGGAGCATGAAAAATGGATCTGAAGGGGTTAAAACGATTCAACAAACGTCAGACACGCGGTGTCGACGGTCGAATTGTGACAAGATATAGGAACTTTGGCGGCGACGAAGGGGATGGAAACGATGGGATCGTCTAAATACACTCCGCGCGGTCGACTCGCGACGGATCGACCGCGCGGATACCGCGGTTCGAACGGAATATAAATGTAAACGGCAGGAATATGCGGCCCCGATCCGCTCGCGCAATTCCATTCACGTTCTGACACTCCTACGCCCCGGCGGCTGTCACCGTCGACCAGAATAGCGCGGTCCGCGTTTGACCCCTTGCGTTCCACCCCATCTCCATTCCTTGTCCTCCGCTCCCCTGGTCCACAGGTCTGCATCCCCTTATCGGAGCGAGAGGGCGTTCGGCAACCCGAAACTATGCGCGGCAGCTACTCGCGGTCACCTAAATCAGTGCCTCTCAAATTGGGTTAAGAGCTCCCAGAGTATGTTGATTAATTTTATTTCAATCGATTTATCTCAGTGCGTATGCTTGGCAGAATTTTGTGAACCGAATGAGAGATAGTTATATTTCGGCAAAATTTATTATGTTTATTATCACGTATTATCTGACGGTAATTTTAATTGTCGCTCTTTTCTTTTTTTAAATTTTACTTACTAAAGTTCTTATTATATTTGAAGATAAATTTAATTAAGTAGCACTTTCATTAATTTTCTTTTTAATTATACCTAAGAAAAGGATAAAAATATGGGTAAAATATGAGAAACACTGAGATAAATTGGAATGCAAATACAATGCACGTTGAGGTCGGCATTTATGCACTCTCTGAATATTTTTATAACGGAGATTATACGTTTTGCTTGTTTCATATATCCGGTTTTCTCCAAATCTCTTATTCCATCCAGTGAATCATTACGATGTAGCGTATGATAAATGTGTAAGTGGTAGCTGAGAGTTGAGAGTTTTCCTCTCTGAAAACGACTCTCGATAAATTTACTCAACTGAAAGAAACTTTTATGTATGTACGAACTTAACTTTGAAATTATGATTGGGGTTCTGAGAGGATGCATCTAAACTATAAATTCAAGTTTCTGAAATGTAAACTAAAATGGTCAAAACATAAAAAATATATCGATTTCAATAACTTGACATATTTATAAACGCAAAATGCTTTCAAAACAAGTATAAGATTCTCGTAAAATTCGATTTTCGTAAAAGGAAAAAGAGAAACTTTGTTGGAGAAAATGTAGAAAAATATATTTGTTGAAAGTTATAAAGTAGACAGTTCCCTTTTGTCACAGGTTAGCTAATTTTTCAGTGATAATCCTCCTCCAAACTGCTGTATTCTTAAAATATTTTCTTTTTTAATCTTTTTGTAAAATGTTTGTTACATTCTTTCTCTTAAATTAAAAAGATATTTCAAAAATATTCGAAAATATCTTATTTTTATAATATACAATACACAATAATGACGCATCGTCCAGAAATAAACGAGTAATTAATTTCATAAGTAATAAATAATAAATTAAATAAACTTTAGATTACTCAGCCTTACTTTGTCGTCGACCGATTCCTCTCTGGTCTCGTTTTGTTTTGTTTCTTCATTGCTACTTTTTCACGGCATTCATATAACAATCATATGCACGGGACATTAATCGCTCGCGACGTGCGCTTTATTCCACGGAAGTAAAACGCGAAAAAATTACGATCGCACAAAGTTATGATACGCCCCCAACGTCTCGCAAATTAGCGCAATGCACAAATCACAAACAATGAGGGGAATTTGAAAATTGTGCTGGCAATTTCACGCGTCACTCTCCACGGCGATGCTAAACCTGTTGCTTCACTTTTGTACATTTTCCGTATCTCGAATAATAAAAATATAGAGCAATTGTTACCTCTTACTATAATATATATACACAAAAATAAGTAAATATTAAAATTAGATATAAATATCCTTGCGGAGAGAATATAATATCAAAAAATATACTCATCGCTTTATAAACTGCTCGAGCGATAGATCATATCTCGCAAGACATATATTTAAAAAAATTATATATGTACATGTCGAATTTTTTATGCGGTTGCTAAGTATTAATATACAAGATTAAATACAATTGTGTACTAAAATATTACACGCTGTTTGTTTCAGGTTCTACATTCTATGTTAATGATGTAAAAATTCGAAAATTTATGATTGAAATTTAATATTGCACGTGCAATACACTACAAACACATCACAATTTCGCGAAATATATGTATTATTAATTAACAGAGTTAATTATATATATATTAAATATATAAATATATTATGGCTCTATTATTTAAATCGCTCAATCTGGTGATTCATGTATTATTGCGCGTTCTCATTCTAAAAGTGTTGACGAAATTGAATTGGGAAAAGAATTAAGGACATGAGAGAGAGAGATATACAAAAATATATAAATTAGAGAAATAATTGTTACTCGCGTAAATATTACAAAAAAATAATTATTTATATTTTTTTTTTATATTGCTTCGATTTATGAGTATCTCCGCGTATTTTGCGATTTGTGTTTCATGGATTCATTAATATTAACTAAAATAAT